ACACACACACACACACACACACACACACACACACACACACACACACATATATATACCCCATATATATAAAAATCAATGAAACCCAAGAGTTGGTTTTCTAAAAAGATAAACAAAATTGAAAAAATTTAAGTTAGATTCATCAAGGAAAAAAGAGAGGATTCAAATAAAATTAGAAATGAAGAAGAAATAGCAGCTGTCACCACAAAAATACAAAGTATTATAAGAACATATTATGAAAAATTATATGCTAACATACTGGATGATTTAGTCAAATGGATAAATTCCAGAAACATACAATCCTCCAAAACTGAATCAGGAAGAAATAGAAGATTTGAACTGAGCAATTACTAGTAATGAAATTGAATCAATAATCAACAAACTCCCAACAAACAAAATTTCAGGACCACATGGCTTCATAGGTAAATTCTACTAAATATTTAAAGAAGAGTTAGTATCTACTCTTCTCAAACTGTTCCAAAAAATAAAAGTGAAGTAAACTTCCTAACTCATTCTACAAGGCCAGCATTACTGTGATACCAGACATTTTTCCAAACAGACATGCAGATGACCAACAGACACATGGAAAGATGCTCAACGTCACTCATCATCAGGGAAATGTCAAAAAATAATCCCCCGAAACAAGACAAAAAACACAAACACGAAGAGACCTCACTTTACCCCAGTCAAAATGGCTAATATCAAAAGGCTGAGAAACAACAAGTGTTGGCGAGGGTGCGGAGAAAAGGGAACCCTGGCAACTGTTGGTGGGAATGCAAGCTGGTGCAGCCGCTGTGGGAGATACTGTGCAGTTTCCTCAAAATATTAAAAACAGAAATACCATAGGATCCAGTAATTCCACCACTGGGTGTTTATCCAAAGAAAAAGAAAAGACTAATTTGAAAAGACAGATGCACCCTTATGTTTATGGCAGCATTATTTACAATTGCCAAGATATGGAAGTAGCCCAAGTGTCCATCGACTGATGAATGGATAAATATGGGGTGTGTGTGTGTGTGTGTGTGTGTGTGATTCAACCATAAAAAAAGAATGTGCTTTTGCCATGTGCAACCACATTAACGGACCTAAATATAGAGGCCACTTTTAGGCAAACAGGCTTTAGCAATGGGATGTGAAAAGGACCACATGGGACCACCTGGATGACTCCAGACATGCCCATCGGGAACCCACCCCACCTCAAAACATCCTTAGGCCCTAGGTGACCAATGGGCTACTTACAACCAGGCACAGTTACCAAAAAAGGGAGAATTCCATATGTCGCCATACCACCGTACCTTCCCTCTTTAAAAGAGGCCCTCACCCACCGCCTCATGGTAGACAGCCTCTCCTCTACTGTCCTGCTCACGGCTCCCTTGTGGGGTATTCAGTAAACTTCTATCTCCTTTGTTCTGCCTTGGGTGAATGCTTTCACCTCCCACACCACCAGCTTCCAGCTGACCATTGCCCCACATTTGGAGGCCCCCATTTGATTGAGAGACACTCCAGCTGGGCACCACCCTAGAGCATATGACACCAAATGATATAAGTCAGAGAACAACAACTACCATAGGATTTCACTTATATGTGGAATCTAAAAACCAAACAAAGAAGGAAAGAGACAAAAAAGCCTGATGCTTAAGTACAAAGCACACTTGCTGGTTGCCATCAAGGGGGGGTAGGAGGATGGGTCAAATAGATATAGAGAGGATAAAGAAGTACAGAATCCCCATATAAAATAAATAAGTCACAAAGATGAAAACTACAGCATCAGGAATATAGTCAATAATATTATAAAAACATTTTACAGTGACTTATGATTGACTACACTTACTGTGTCGAACGCTGAGGGATGTATAGAATTGTCAGTAATATGTTATACACTTGAAATTAATATAACATTGTATGCTAGGTACACTTCAATAAAAAATAAAAAATATCAATGGTCACTATTTCCATCTACAGTTTTACAAGAGGATTTTTTAGTTATCCAAACTATGGCACCAATTAGCTTGCACAACAACGCCCAGCATAAAACCAATGTCTAACATACAGGAGAGGGTCATACCATCTTCTTAATCTGGAGAAGTCGATCCTACCAATGCATTCCTTAATTCAACCAGTATTTAGAGAGTGCTTATTATGTGTCAAGCATGTTTTATAAGTTCTGGGAATATAATGATGCATGGTCCCTGCCCGTAAAATGTCTTTTCTATCTCATTCTTTGACTTTTATAAACACTGAGGAACATTTTGAAAATGTGAGGACTTTGGGTGTGATGCCGATCTCCAACACTTGTGCTCCTGTGTTCAAACAGGTGTACCTGAGAAGAACAGCAGCTGTGGGAAACGACACACCTATGTTTACCTCTCAGTCAAGTCAGGCTCTTCGGGCACTCTCTCAGGGTGCACATAAACGTTTATGTCACAAGTGCTACCTTTCAGACTGGGTGGATCCACTCCTATTACCTTACAGAATGACAGGATATTATTAGCTCAGGCAGGGCCAAAGACAGAAGGAGGAGCGGAGGTCAGAGAACACTCACTGGTAAGTGGTCGGGCTGACATTGATGCGCCGAGGGTGACTTCCGGATTCGAATTTGCTTGCCAGAGTGACATTGTTTCCGAACAGGCAATACCGTGGCATCCTCACGCCAACAACTCCAGCGAGCACGGAACCCGAGTGAATGCCTATCCTCATCTAAACAAGAGAAAATGAAAAGGATATATTTATACTTTCTTTTGGTATGCAATTACTTCAGTGAAAGGTAATTTTGTAAGCTACCGAACTTGGATCTCCTCAGAGACAGGAACTGTGCCTTGGTCATTTTTGTGAGCCTAATATCTGGATCATTACAGAGGCAATGAACATGAATACTGTGGAATAAATGAATAAATTAACTATAGGGAAAAATTATGTTTAATTTGCTACATAAACCCAGCTATATTACAAGTCAAATCACATTTCTTTTGAACAGAACATGTTCTAATACATAAAAAATGTATTATTCTCCCTCCAGTTATTCTTATATATGACCCTATTTTCCTTTCATAGAATTAAGCACAATTATAAATTAAATATATTTCTGTTTATTTTGTTTAAATGTTCGATTGTCTTATGAGAGAAGGATCCGTATCTATTTCCTTACTGCTGAATATTCAGTCCTTAGTACTGTACCTAGAGCAAAGCAGGCCCTCCACAGTAAATGGTAATTGTTGATAAATTGTCAAAATCCTTCAATATTATATTAAAATGGCGTTATAGAGAATTTAACCCTCGAGTCAGTCAAGAAGCGTCTATTGAAAACCCTGGAAAATGAGTGCTGTATATTTTACTCTGTGAATCTGATAAATATTAGTCTGGCCCATGCTTTGAAGGAGCCCCCAATGTGCAGTTGATATACACTTAAATGTGATCACAGCCATGCAGTTGCTTCTACACAGTCTACACCAAAGTAACTGAAGCTCATGTTGACCCAGTGGGGAATGATATCCTTAGTCCTAGGGGAATGTGGGAGAGAAGGAAGAGATCTGACCCCTAGATGCCTACTACATAAGTAAAGTATCACTCTTCACTACCCTATCTGCTTTTGCCCCTGCGGTTGTGAAGACAAGAAGTCATTCTGTGACTAACCTTTGTCATGGACTGGAGAGTTCGGTACTTATCAACTATTAATAAGACAGGCTGAAACCAACGTGATCCAGCTGCAACTCTTAATAAACCTCTTCATCTACTTTTTAAAAAATGATCCTAACATTTATTTGGAAATTCAACATGCTAGGAAGAATCAAGGTACATTTCAGAAAGAAGAAAGAATAATTTCCCTATTAGTATAAACATATCTAATTAGTGCATGGATATCATAATACTGGTGTATAGACAGAGAAACACACTAACAGGACAGGAAGACTTCCATACATATATATGTGATTCACATGACAGAGTTGGCATTTCAGATTAGTGAGAAAAAAGATGGTATTTTCATTAGGATGCTCTGGATCAACTCTATCTTCATGTTGAAAAATAAAATTCCAAGTAGATTAAAGATCTTAATGTCGAAGGCACAACTTTACAGCTTTAAAAATAATTGTTTTAAATAAGGTAAAGGTCAACGTGCAGTATCAGTAATACTCTAAAATACAGAAACCCTAAAAAGTATACTTTTCTTAGTCTCTCAGTAACAGTTTCCAGGTGAGTGGTCCAGATTGTCAGGAAGCTCTGTTCGGTCAAGGACCAGTTCCTTATCATGTTCCTCCTCATGCTTGTCACATACTCCTTGTTGGGAAACTTGAAGCTGAATCAGGAGCACCCTCATGTTCTAACTCATGATGGGGCAAGACAGACCCTTCCTGTCCAGGGGAAAAGTCATGATCGCCTTTTCAGGTGATCTTCGTTCCTTTGGGAAAAACCAGATTTACATCTGCTATCATTTTCCTTCTAAAAGAATTTTTTCACTATAGGTCCACTGATGATGAATTCTTTCAGCTTTTGTATGTTTGAAAAAGTCTTTATTTTGCCTTCCTATCCGTCAGATATTTTCACTGGGTTTAGAATTCTAGGTTGAGAGTTTTTTCCTTTCCTTTCTGTACTTTAGTGATGTTGTTCCATTGTCTCCTCCTCCATTGCTGCCATGCTTATCTTAATTCCTTTATATGTAATAGATCTTTTTTCTTCTGGCAGCTTTAAGTTTTTCTATTTTTTGCTAGTTTTGCAAAATTTATTTATGATTTCTCTTGATGTTGTTTTCTTCATGTTTCTTATGTATGGGGTTTGTTGGGTGTCTTGGATCTGTCAGTTTATAGTTTTCATCAAATTTGGAAAAATTTCAGCTATTACTTCTTCAAATATTTTTTCTATCCACCTTTCTTTTTCTCTCTCAGAGACTCTAAATACATGTCTATTGGGATACTTGAAGTATTTCCATGGTTGACTAATTTATTCATTTAAAATATTTTTCTGTTTATTTTGGATAACTTCCATTGTAATACCTTCAAATTTATTAATCTTTTCTTTTGAAATGTCTAATCTTTTGTTAACCTCATCCAGGGCATATTTCATCTCAGACATTGGGATTTTCATCTCTAGAAGTTCAGTTTGGAAATTCTTTTTCTTTTTCAGGTATCAAATTACCTTTTGAACATATGGAATACAGTTAAAATAACTGTTTTAATACGTTGATAATTCTAACATCTGTTGGTCTATTCAGTTTTGATTGGTCTTTCTCATCATTATGGGTCATATTTTTCAGTTTTACAGTATGCTAGTAATTTTTGGTTGGATGTTAGGTATCATAAATTTGACTTTGTTGAGTGCTGGATATTTTTTATATTCCTTTAAGATTGTATTTGAGAGAGAGAGAGAGAGAGAGAGAGAGCATAAGCAGGGGGAGGGACAGAGGCAGAGGGAGAAGCAGACTCCTCGCTGAGCAAGGAGCCCAATGCGAGGCTTGATCCCAGGACCCTGAGATCATGACCTGAGCCAAAGGCAGATGCTTAACCCACTGAGCCACCGAGGTGCCCCTATTTTTGATATTCTTATAAATATCCTTGAGTTCTATATAGGGATGCAGTCAAGTTACTTGGAAATAATTTATTTTTTTCAAGTCTTGCTTTTTAAGGTTTGTTGGGCAAGACCTGAGCAGTATTTCATGTAGGCCTAGTTTTTCCCCACTACTGAGGCAAGAATATCATGTACCCAGTGCCCATGATTTAGGAGGTTCTCCAGTCTTCCTGTGGCATTTTTTTTTTCCAGGTCCTGTGTGAGTGCCAGGAACTTCTTCCTCTAGTCCTTACAGGTGTTTTTCCCTGATGGGTTCAGGTAGTCTTCTCACACACAAACAATAACCCATGCAGAACACATAGGAGGCCCCTTACAAGATCTCTGGTGGCGTTTGTGCAACTTTTCTCCTTGCTCGTACTCTGTCTGTGACCTCTAACTTCTTCCATCTCCCCAGACTCTCAGCTCCATCTCTTCCACTCCAGGAGTTTGTTGGATGCCTCCTGGTTTGCTTCTCCTCGCACCATAGCCTGGATGTTCTCAAAGCAAGAGAACACCAGGGAAATCATATGTCTCATCTTATTTGTTTCCTATCTCTCAGGGATCACTGTTTTCTATTGCCTACTAGCCAGTGTCATAAAGATTTTTAATTGTTTAAGGTAGGAATATAAATCCAGTGTCTGTTATTCTATATTAAGTGAAAGCAGAAATGAGATAATACTTTTTTTTTTTTTTAAGAAACCTAACTTTCTGAAAAATGTAGGTCTGTTTCTGATGAGGGACTGTCTATTTGGGTTTAAAAAGGTAAAAAAAATGCTGAATAATAATAGTCTTTTTAATCAAGATAATTATAAACCACCTTTCTCTAAAGTTAGCAAAGCATTTTGCAATAATATTATATTTCTTTAGGATTTTTTTTTTGCTTTTATAAGGCCTATTTATATTAAACTCCCTTGTGTAACACAGGATTGCCTGAAAAACACCCAGAGCTCAGATACAAAGATCGTCAGTTTGGACCTATGATCACTGTACTGATCCCTTTAAGCAGGAGGCAAAAAGAAGTGAATATCACATTGACACATCTCACGGCCTCTTTATTCTGTGCTTTTTGTTTGAGAAAAAGACTCTATACCCCACACCAACTATATAGAAGGCTTATATGGTTCTACCAATACCTCCTTTCAAAAGACCTGAGGGTTTTTTTAAACGGAATTATCAAAAGGAGAATTACTATAACCTGAAACATGTTGACAATAAAAACCCTGATATCCTTGGGGGGCGGGGGGGTTGGTGGATGGAAAAATGGCCATTTAAAAAAATTATCTTTTAGAAAGCCACTTAAAACATGCACAAAAATATCAACAACCACACAAATAGCACAAATTTGTTGTCATTGTCTCTACCATATAATAAAACGAAACTCAGAGAATTACTTAATCTTGGAAGTAAGGAGATATCATTGGGAACTTACAAACCGAATCATCAGACCGTTTTATTTTGCATTTCCTTTGACAACTTATTGAGATTTCTGAGGAATTACTGCCTATATACGGAAGTAAATGATTGCTTCCCTCAGAGTATGTCAAGAACATCTAGAAGTTACACAAAACAGTTACACTTAACGCTCAAGGAGGAATTTAGATTCACTTTGAAAAGATTTAACATTATTTAAATAATTTAACCAATGAGTCACATTGGCATCTCTCTGCCCAGTATGTCTTAACTAAAGAGGGGTACTGTGCACTAAACCAGTGGTTGTTAACAGGGGACATTTGCGCCCTTCAGTCAACGTCTGGCAGTGTCTTAAGAGATTTTTTATTTTCACAACTGGGATGGGGAGCTGCTACCAGCATCTATTCAGTTAAGCTAGAGATGCCCAGGACAGCTTCCCCACAACAAAGAATTTTCCAATCCAACAAATAAGTAGTGTGGAGTCTGGGAAACCCTGCACTAAACAGACTTCTGGCAACTGATAGATACTTAGTAGACCAACACACATGCAAAATAATCAGATCAAAGCTTTGATGTGTAACACCAGACTTCATTTTTTAGAGAACATTTATGGAAAAAAAATAGTATTTGTCCTAGGGATTTACTGAAAAACACAGCAACTTTTGGATCTATGCTGAGGTTAGGATATCTGTTACCCCATCTCCTATACCTGTATGTGTGAAATACTACACAACTCTGGGAAACATCAAAGA